CTTAAATAAAAATTTTGCAACTAACCTATACAACCTGGTAGCATGAGCTGTGAGTCTCCAAGTATGCAAGAAACTGCGCAGAAGAGAAATCCATGCACACCATTATATGCTTGTCATTTTCCTTTTGTTTTGTGTATGTCTTAATTATCTTTAGTTTTTGTTATTATTTTGTTACAGTTTGTTTAATTTGTGCTTTTTGATGCTTTTGTTTGTATTTTTTTTTTTGCTCATTGGTTTTTTTTAATATTTATATATGTGTTTATATAAGTGAAAGAATCAAAGAGGACGCATCGATTCTCTGTTACCCTGAGTTCTCAGAGTAACAGAGAATCGATGCGTCCTCTTTGATTCTTTCACATATATATACACAGCTCTGCTACCACAGCATTGAGCACTTTATGCCAAGGTAGACTCTACCCCCACATTTATATATGTGTTTATATATATCTATATATGTTTTTTTTGGTCTTAGTGCATGTTGTCGTCATTGCCTAAGAACACAATCGGTACGCCATGGCATTTTAGGAGCAATTCGGCTTCTGTTGAATTAATTCATCAGTACATACACATCAGCGCATGTCTGGCCATAGTTATTACCTTCGGAAGAGTTGAGTAAATCCTGCCTGTACCATATGCGAAATTTATATCCAGAGAACACTTTCAGAGGAGGAGAGAGTAATTTGAATATCAATTCTGGCGAGTTGTAGTTATAGCCAGCTAAGGAATAAATTTTACGATCATTGTAGCGTGGAAAAATCACTTCGTTTCTTTCATTTGTCACCAGGGTTGTTAATTGACTTTCCTTTGCACATCCCCAGTGACTTCCTTGAGGCATTGTATGGTACTGGCAAGAGACAAATCCTGAAATGTAAACCAGCCTCAAGGATACGACATTGCCATCGTAAGGGACAGCGAATGCTCCATAGGAGTCATCTTTAGCACCGAAGCATACTCTATTTGGGTTGACTTGGAGCCAAGGAAAAGCTGAAAAGACGCACAAAATATGAGATGTTGATCGCTTGCTCTTGTTCATTCTGTTTTTGCCAATGGTACTTTAAATTCTTCGTCTAAAGCTTATAATCGAGGACGCTTTTTGTCACTGAGCCAGTTCCAATTATAAGTTATATGTAGGTCAAGCTGAATTATTTTCACCAGTTGAATAACATCGTTCAGCGATACCAACCTCAGCGAGCTTAAATCATTGTTAGTGGCTTCATTAGGAAACTGGACCGGACTTCGATTCAAACTGATACGTGATTACAATACTGATTTCATTTAACTTGAACGGGAAAAGGGGAAACAAAAAAAGGGAAAAAAATAAAGAGAAAGAGATGGAATAGGGAAGAAAAGATTCTGATGGCCAAATAAACTCTGCCTTGTAACTGAGGCCTCCATGTTGACTGTGATGTTTCCGTGTGAAACCAATTAAACTTAAGAAAAATAAACTTTTTATTTTATTTTGGTATTATTAATATCAGTGTCATTAATATTCATGTTATTCAAATTTGAGTCCACGCAGTCTCGGCTTTGGAGACTTGACGGTTAAATTTGTGTTATAGATATCAAATCAAATCACTATTATTATTGATAATATTATTATCAATGTCATAATAATAATAATTATTATTATTATCAGTGTTATTATCTGTAAGATCATAATGTGGAAGATAATAAATTTTATTGAAAGCAATGTTACCTTTTTCAATGATTCTTGAAGTGCGTTCACATGTATATCCGTTTGATCCATACAACGGACGGCATCTGATTCCACCACAGGGCTTGTTGTCGCATAAGTTCTGAAAAAGGAATAATTCATCGCGAGTTTGTCGCAATGTTTTTGGATTATGGCTGCTAAAACACTGAAAAATCCGCGTAGCTTTAAGACAGTGATGTTCAAACTTCCCTTGAAGAGAAAGAAAACCAAACTACGGAAAAAAACCGAAAGTTACGTATTCGGCCTTTGGTAAAGTCATTTCTCGCGGCTGAGAACGAAAAAAGACAACTGGAAGATTTGCCACGGGCCGATTTTGGTCATTTACCTGAAAGATTTCTTTTGGTAGGGACTAAGTCAATAACTGAGAATTTGTATATTTTTCTGTAGTGATTCAACGAATGTTTACTCTTGAGTGGGCCAACCTACTGTATTATTTTCTAGTCAGTAAAGGGCTATTGTGTTTGCATGATAAACAAAATAATACATGGTTGCTTTTACATATGGAATTTCTCTTCACTATGCGCGCCCATGTATTCTCTATTTATTATATACTGAAACACTGGATAGCGTTAAAGGCGCGCTCTGATTGGCTACTCAAATTCCGATTATCCTTTGCTAATCACTTTTGAAATCATATTTTTGTGCTATATTATCTCTCTGTTTTAGTATATACTAATACTATTACATCTCAGTATTGGTGGTGAGCAGTGGATATTTACCTCACCGTCGTGCGCCTATGTAAATATCACTCATTAGCCACCTATACTTCCGTGAATAGTTGTTAAGTAAATGATGAGGCTTTCCGTAAAATCGCCCTCTGTTCTGATCGGCTGCCGTGATTATTCCACAAGAAATTGAACTAGCATGATTGAAGTAGTTCGATAAGTAAAGTACTGTATTTGAAGACCTTGATAGAAGGGGTTTTTTGTAGGTTCACCGGGAAAAGAAAAGAAAATTATACAATCGATGATAAAGAGGTATGGAATGAAAATAAACAAAGAGGAAATGAAATCGGCATTGCTTCTTTGCATGCAGGCCATACATTGTTTATGCGAGAAGTTGTTTCACTTTTTCTTTCTTTTTTTTGAAGGTATTACTCGAAACAAATCTTATCATAATGTGCATCTTTCCCAATTTAACTTTGCCAATCAGTGTTATGGGGAATTGTTTCATGGAGCCAGATCCCGCTATTAATGTCTTTGAAGGGAGCGAATGTCGGAAAATTAAAATTAATTTTGCACAAAAGGTTCTTATTACGGTCATCTTTTCATACAGTCTCCATTGTTTGAGAAGTTGTTTTCACTGCGATTTTTACCAATTTCCATCCTTAATAATTTCTTTTTGTATAGGAAACGATTTACGCTACCGATTAATTCAATAGGTGACGGCTTGACCAAACACCATGTGCCTCTTTTTACTGTTTAAGTGTCAGGACACTATGGCAACAGGAGGCACTTAAAAGAACTTATCAGTTGTCGCTCAGTTGAACTTAACACTAGTTAAATTATTTCGCGTGAAGGCGCACGCACCATGTCGGTTCATATTTTCAATCTGATAGTGGTAGCAATAGAAAGAACTGGATGTGTAGAAAAAAACAATGTCAAAGTTAGCCCGGTATTCCTAGTCAATGAAAGAAAAAACTAGGCCGCCCGACAACAACAAAATTACAGCTCTGCGTTAACCATGGATATGTATGAGCAACACATATTTTTCCTGTCCAGAATAGTCATTAAAGCGTATATTTGAAACCGTTTTTGAAACTCTTGATGTTTTCTTAATTTTTGCCGTTTCTTTGTTTTTGCAAAATAATCTTATGTGAGGACGCATTCATTTTCAACCAGATTAGTTCTTTCTTTTATAAGTAACACATTCATCTTAAAATATTTGTTTTTGTTTTTGTTCTTTGTGAGTATGCTTATTTTCCACGGAATCCTCAATTTCGGTTTGAATAGTATTCGCCTCGAGGTTTTAATCTGAAACATATCTGATATGAGTTTTTAGGTATTATTTTAGCGTTAATAAACTTTTTCCTTACCGCTAAACTGTAGTGATGATAAGAGTTGTTCCAGTTAAGTTTGTTGGGATATCGAAATCTGTCCGCTTTCAGCAGCGCACAGGAGTGTCCCGTTAGATCCGCTTCAACTGCAAAGTTGACAGAGATGCAAAGTTCGTGTCGGATGCAGTGAAGGCCACAGGCCATTGAATCGTAGACTTTGTAAGATGCCAGTTGATCAATGTTTAGCATTCTATTCAAATGCTCGACAAAATAAACATTATTCTTTTCATCAGATCTGCGATATTGTTCACTAGTAGTAATAGTAAAAGCTGTTAGAATTTTGAAGAACTGGAGCAAAACAAGAAACTTTGACATTTTGGATTATTGCTCGACCCAAGCCGGATAGAAATGATCAACGCCAAAACAAGGCCCCCTTTAAAACAGCAATATTTAGTTTATAAACTGCTAATAACATGACAACTAAGAAAAAAAAAAGGTGATTGAATTGAATCAGTAGATACAAAATTAGCTATTTTATTGATGTCAGTAACTGATTGGTGCGCCCTCCCCTGCTAATGAACATTATTCACTCATCAGCGGGTGAATAATGCGAAGAACACAATGACAAATCATCAGAGAAACTTGCGTTTCGACTCGTTAATGAAGCTGTTCCGAAAAACAGGAGGAATGGCCAGAGTAAGCCTATAGGATTTTACGTAAAGGCGAGAAAGGCCATCAAATATAGTTGCACTCAAACTTAATACGTTAACGCTGTAATCTTCAATGCAGTATGATAAAAACGTTTTGAAGCCTAAATGTGCCATACGAAACAAATTTCCAGTAGACAAGTTGAACTGAAGGGCTGATAGATAACACGCCTGGACAATACATGTTAGAATCTTTGCCAAAATCTAGTGGTCTGAAAAGCAGTTTCGAAACAAGTCCTAAATGAGTGTTTAAGGGTTGCCTTACGAGAAAATTCTATATATGTCATGCCCTAACTTCTGTGCATATACTGTTCGTTTTTTTATGAACCATAACACAGCGGCAAAATTAGTACGCAAGCTCCGTGTTACTGGTCGATAAATTGGAGTTATTGACCAAGCTTGTTCTGTTAAGATGGCTGGATACTAGCTGAGTTCTTAGTAACCGGAGACTAAAATCCAGCCATCTCTGTTTTCTATGCAAGAATTATCTCAAGTCAGCAAAATGGGTGTTATTCTCTTGCAAGATTACCCTAATGACCTTCTGATCCTAGGAAATATGTGCCTCAACCATTGTGAATACGAAGCTGCTATGACCTACTTCGAAGTGGCCTTGAAAATTATACACTCAGGTGATGCAAACGACGCTCTCGGAAAAGCAAAACTCTATCTCCTTGTGGGAACCACACACAAATGTAAGGGTAACTTCGAGCAAGCGAAGAACTATCATACGCATGCACTGGACATTCATCTGAAACAGCTTGGACCTGAGCATGTATATGTCGCAGCTTCTTACAATAACCTGGGTACTGTATACAGTGACCTAGGTGATTTCCAGAAAGCAAAAGAAAACCATGCACGTGCACTAGACATTTACCTGAAACAGCTCGGACCTGAACATGTAGATGTGGCAGCCTCTTACAATAACCTGGGTATTGTATATAGTGATCTAGGTGATTTCCAGAAAGCAAAGGACTACCATGCACGTGCACTGGACATTCGTCTGAGACAAACTCATGTCGCAGCATTTCCACCGAGCGAAGGACTACCATGTACGTGCACTGGACATTCGTCTAAAACAGAACGGACCTTAGCATATAGATGTCGCAACTTCTTACAATAACCTGGGTAATGTATACAGTGGTTTAGGTGATTTCCGCCAAGCAAAGGACTGCCTTGCACGTACACTAGACATTCGTCTGAAACAGCTCCGACCTAAGCATGTAGCTGTCGCAACTTCATACAATAATCTGGGTACTGTATACAGAAATCTAGGTGATTTCCAGCGAGCAAAGGACTACTATGTACGTGGATTGGACATTAATCTGAAAGAGCTCGGACCTAAGCATGTAGATTTTGCAACTTCTTTCAAAAGCCTGGGTACTATACAGTGATCTAGGTGATTTCCAGCAAGCAAAGGACAACTATGTACGTGCACTGGACATTCGTCTGAAACAGCTCGGACCTGAGCATGTAGATGTCGCAACTTCTTACAATAACCTGGGTACTGTATACAGTGATCTAGGTGATTTCCAGAGAGCAAAGGATAACCATGCACGTGCACTAGAAATTGCACGTGCACTGGACATTCCAAACAGCTCGGACCTGAGCATGTAGATGTGGCAGCCTCTTACAATAACCTGGGTACTGTATTCAGTGATCTTGGTGATTTTCAGAAAGCAAAGGATTACCACGCACGTGCACTGGACATTCGTGTGAAACAGCTCGGACCTAAGCATATAGATGTCGCAGCTTCTTACAATAACCTGGGTACTGTGTACAGAAATCTAAGTGATCTTCAGAAAGCAAAGCACAACCATGTACGTGCACTGGACATTCGTGTGAAACAGCTCGGACCTGAGCATGTAGGTGTGGCAGCTTCTTACAATAACCTGGGTACTGTGTACAGTGATTTCGGCTGTTTCCAGAAAGCAAAGGACAACTATGCACGTGCACCGTCTGAAACAGCTTGGATCCGAGCATGGAAATGTCGCATCTTCCTACAATAACCTGGGTACTGTGTACAGTGATCTAGTTGATTTCCAGCAAGCAAAGTACTACCATACACGTGCACTAGACATTCGTCTGAAACAGCTCGGACCTGAGCATGTAGATGTCGCAGATTCTTTCAATAACCTGGGTACTCTATACAGAAATGTAAGTGATTTCCAGCAAGCAATGGACTACCATGTACTTGCACTGGACATTTGCCTAAAACAGCTCGGACGTAATCATCTTAAAGTTGGAGAAACTTATGAAAATATTGGTGACGCACACAATGATCAGGGTCACGATGAGGAGGCGAAAAGGAACTATGATCATGCTTTGGCGATTTGTGTTCGAAACCTTGGCTCTGGACACGTTAAAGTTAGAATTATTCAGAATAAGCTGGCTCAATTATAGCAAAATACTCGGACGGCCTTTGTATATGCAGACACGCATGTTTGCTCTGTAACCTATGATGAAAATGTTGGATTACAGATGTCAAGCTCAGGCATCTCATCACTAAATAATCTTGATGCATGCATACTTTGTTTCGTGCGAACTTCAAGACTAATTAATAACAAATTTCGCTATCGATACGATAAGGGTTGATCAATACGTAACCAACACTTTTTGTTAAATCACACCTACTTTAAGGATTTCTTCTCTTATTTTAAATATTTAGACATCTTTAAATTCTGAAGAGAAAGCCGTTGACTGCTTGTCATTGTGAGACATTAAGGTACTTATACCAAAACCACAATCCGATTGATTGGATCTCTTCATTTTCCTGAGTTTTATAGAAGTCAAAGTTAATTAAAGCGAACGCCCGTCGTGACGATTTTCAGGATCTTTAGTAGGACAATTTATAAACAGGGAGAGATTTTCTGTTATGGAAGAGAATACATAATGTATTTTTAATTTTGCAATTTACTTTTTTTCCTTTCAGTATCCTTTTTGCGTCCACATTATACAACAGCTTTCACTTAGAAATCTGTGGAGATTAAAATGGCTGCCTTCAGTGTTACTCTGTAAAGGTTGAATTTTTAATTTTATTTCTTGTCCAATTCGGTCACTTGCCGGAAAATGAAATCGGATTCATTGCAAAAAATTAGTTAAAAAAGGGCAATTCATCCAGCAATCACATTCAAGGAAATTTTGACGGTCCTGATTAATACTAGTAATAGGACCGAGTGGAGTCCAATTCGGTCTGTAATCATACGAGTGATTAACAAAATCGGACGACCGCGAAGCGATGTGTTACTAACGAGTATGATTACAGACATAATTGGACGACATGCAGTCCCGTTACCTATCAATCAAAACAATTACAAACTTTTAGAAAGAAACTAAACATCGGTTATACGTTTTTCAAAAGAAACAACAGTTAACTTGGCGAAATGCGAGATAACAGCGCGCGCACACGACGCGTTCTGTTAACCTACACGGACATGACGTGTCAACTGTCCCTTTAACTGTCCTATTGCATTGTACATTTACAAGCATGACGCCTACTCTGTCCTATCAGCTCAAATCGGACTGGTGATAGCCAATCACGTTCAAGAATTTTGTTACAGTTTCATTATTTAATATGAAATCCGTCATATTTTCGTAAGTAAAATTTTACATCGCAAAGCTTCACCATGCTTTTATCAATTACAATAGACTTTTAATTTTTTTCTTGCAGTGTTTTCTAACTACATCTGAAACACAGTTTCTTTGTTTTGAGAACGCTACCAGCAAAAGTAAAAAAGCAAAAGAAAACAAACTTGGTTAAACGTGATTGAATTTTTAAAATCGAGATTCTTGGTAAGCTTCGTAGCTAGTTGAAATGCTTAGGAAAGATTAATTGATATTCTTCGTACGGCCATTTTCGAAAAAATCTAGTCACGCACAATGATACATTTTTGGTAATAGAATACAAAATTTCCTTTAGAAATTGGAAAGGGTATGAGAGCAAGCTCTTCGTTTTTTAACTCAAAGGGCGGCCGATGTAACTTCTGAGCCTTTCTCCCTTGCGATGAGCGGAGATCGCAATGAGGGACCTAAGCATGATCGCAGTCGCTCTGACACCAACGTAATTAGTATGAATTTTTATATTTATGCTAATTTGACTATGTTTTTCATCTTTCCTGTTTTGTTTTGTTCTGTTATTTTTTTATTTGAACACGAAACTATACATACTATACGAGTGTTAAATGTGTTTGATTCTTGTTTTCGTACATGAAAACCTTCAAAACTCGGACTGCCCATTTACTTTTGTCTTTGAGGATCACGTTATAATAACGTAAATTAGCGTTCTTATTCAACTCTTGTCAGACGATAGCCAAAGTTCAAAGCCGAGTTAAAACTATACTGTATTAGCTCCAAGCGCTATCCTTCTGAAATAGAAATAACTCCATCGTTGTTGCATACTGATTTTCTGTTTGTAAACACTCGCCTCATCTGCAAATATCCAAGTATACAAAATAAACACAACTTCAAATAGCCAAGGTGTTATTGATCCCTCTCGTTATTTTTATTTTATCATAATAATGACAGTAATAATCCAATTGAATACAGCATTTATATTATTATCTAATTACTAAGAACGAAAATTTTTAATCAACCTCTATGAGCTGAATGGTGCTATTATAACTTGCACCTTCTTTGATATGCCAATGGATCAATTTGCTAAAACTTCACTAATTAAAGTTTTCTTATCTCATATAAGCACATAGGTTATTATTTTTGTTTTTAATGAGGGTCAACATGTTATATAATCCAATGAGTCAGAAAGCATGCATTTTCTGAACTCTGCAGAAAATATGAAGAAAAACCTGGTATTGTTCTAATAATGAAGCACATAATCAAGCAGGAAAAATGAGCAAGCATCAAATCAAAACTCTTGAAAACCACTTTGGAATCTTTTGTCACGGTATTTTCTAACAGACAGAAAGAATCCTACACTACTACAAACCGAACTACGTTGTTAAACAATGCGTAAAAATGCTTACTAAGAAGCGACTCCTTTAGGCGATACCGTGATTATCTTCTACAAACCACTACAGACTGTTCCTTAGTTCTCCACTGACACAAACTCACTGTTTTTACCCAATATCTTTTAAATGCACAATCTTTGATGTACATCATAGTGGCTCTCTCTCTCAGTTTAGCTTGAAATGCATAATTACTCCTAGATTACTGAATTCTTGAAACGTATTTTAGAATATTCCGCCGGCCTAAAACACTAAAATTCTGGTAGAATGGCATCATAGTTACATAACCTCCAAGTCACCGTGAAAGGGCATTCTAGAAGTTAATATTTGATAATGACTTCCCATAACAATTCTTGGTATTACATCCTCTCGTTGTAAGCCAATTAACACAATTCAATTACTTAATTCTACCTTTAATGCGCTTCCCATCTCCAGCTGTCTTAATTTGCCCTCAAAAGACTCCTCATAGCAGGTGTCTTAAAGGATCCCAATCAACCGCATGGGTGTTTTTGTTTAGGTGAGGGAAAGTTGAAACTTCTTGTGACTGTAGACACGATCCATAAGATGATGTCACTGATATGTGAAGTGGCCATGGAGACCATATCAGTCATGGATATGAAACACTAACTCATAAACCATTAAAACATCAATTAAATTGTCTAAATCTGAAAACTTATAACTTATCGTTAGAAAAAAAATCGTTTTGTTAGGGATTTTTTTAAAGACAGCCAAAGATCGAGTGAAATTTGGTTTAACTAAGTAACGTACACAGATTGGTTCAATATAACTAAGTCCTCGTTTACCTCTAAATAGACGCAAAATTAACAAAACTGTTTTTTTCTATTTTGTATCTCATACGCTTAATAAAAAACAAAGACGAGATTATCGATTTCTAATTGCCATTTCTTCTCGTTAGATTGCTTAGAATTTATAATAATTTCCTCGAATTTAACTGCCTACAGTTTTGTGTCCTCTTCAAAAGTGTGTTCTTCATCGACAGCTTCGGTAGCCGAAGGTGACTTTTGACGCATTGATCTTGATTTTTCCCTTTTTCTGTTAAAAAAAAAAAACAAACAAACAAACAAAACAAAACAAAACAAAAGTAAAACAAGGAAAAGAAAAGGAACGCTCAATCGCTATAATCTTGCAAAAGAATTATTTATGTAAAAAGCCCCGTTCTGTCATTTAATCAGTCGGTCAATCAGTCAATAAAATAAACTATCAATCAATCTTTTGGTTGGCTGCCAGGTTGGGCGCTCAATTGTTCTGGCGATTGTTCAGCATTCGTTCAGTCAGTCGGTCAAGTAGTCAGTTTGTTGGTTTATCAGTTGCTCAGTCATTTTTGTCAGTAATTCAGTCAGTCAGTCCGTCAGCTGGTTAATCAGTGAGTAAGGAAGTTAGTGAGTCAGTTATTCAGTGAGGTAAGTCCGCTAGCGACAGTCACTCTTTCAACCGTTTAGCCTGTAGGTTAAGGAGCTAGCTAGTTTGCAAATAAGTCAGTAATTCAAATAATTCAGCAGTTAGTTTGTCAGTGACAACGTCCGTCAACTTTGTTAAACGGACAGTTTATATCTCTGGAGGAATTTGAACCTGTGTATATCCCCCTTCTCACCACTTACTTCTTTGCGGTGGAATGCCTGAATTTACCGTCCCCTTTTTTCAAACTCTTGTTCCGTTCTCCTAACATTAAAAAAACAAAGTAAAAATTACATATTTGATAAGATACTTAATGCGCTGTGGCAACTGCTTAACTTGATGAAACTGGTTAACGACACTCTAAATGTAAGAAAATCACAAAATAAATAGATAACAGTAGGGTAATCCGCGAGGTAATGCTGGAGAAATAAACCGAATTGGCTGCTTTCGTTTTGTTTTGTTGGTTTGTTTGTTGTTGCTGTTTTTTTTTACCGAGGTATTCCAAATAAATTCGCAACAAAATTTGTTTATTTGATGAAACGGCAAATAAAGGAAAAATGAATAAAAATAAGAACGAAAAAATTACAATTTTTTTGCAAAATGTCGGCGAAACAAAGAGGATAGAATAATAAAGTGGAAGTAATTATTACATGAAAAACTGTTTTTTTGCCAAAGAAATTTGCATCGGGTATATTTAATGGCCTTCTCTTTTCTATCGAGACTCATCAAAATTCGCAACAGAACATTGCACTTTTTGCGAAACAAACCCAAAGCCAAATTAAAAACGGATAAAAGACCCGAAATACCCTGCTTTCGTGCTCGTGACATTTCAATTACCAGTTATCAAACACTTGTAATATTACACATAATAGATTCATGTCAAACTTTGGGATTTCTTAAGTGTTTGGTCTTTTTTATCTTTTGCTTGGCAATTTTCTTGAAAGAATTGCATAAGAATGTTAAAGCTCCCAAATGAGAATTACGTGAATCTATACTCCACTTGATGTTTTCATACTTATTGCCGTTCATTTTGGCCGCCACCTGTTATGCAAAATCTTAATTTATTGCGCCCAAATTTCGCTCATTTGCATTAAAAAATTTCATCTCTTAGTCCTGTTTGAGGATAATTGATATTCTTTGATTTGACCACCAGTTATAGTGGTAAGAAAGCCAACTGTGAAATTAAAAATTTACTTCATTTAGAGCTTGGCAATACCTAAGGGAGGTAATGAGACTCTGAACTGATCGATACGCAGGAGAGCTTAATAGACCTTAGAAGGTTTGTCTATCTCTACCACAGTAACACTGAATGAGTTGTCAAACAAACAAAGAATAGCGACCAATTTAAAAAAAAAAAAAAAAAAAAAAAAGGTTGGCTATACATTTTTAATAAATAAGGTAAGACAAGTTACCTTGATTTAGATCAGTATTCTCAATAGGTGCCGGTTCGATTTTTTCGGCTTCATCAAGTACTCCTTGAAACAAAAAGGTAAACACTGTCTTTCTTTTTATTTTAAACTAATGAACAATATTGTACCTTATTTTCCATTATCTCATTATTAGTGATTGTTTCAGAATCAAGTCAGACTATTTTGTTTTTCTTTATTTCAAATAATGACAATAACTGGAGACAAAATAACAAAGAAATTTTTCAAAACTTTTAAACCTAACAAAATTGTCTTAGAACACGAGATTTGTAGAATTTAGAACTAACGTAATGAACGATGAGGGTTGGATAACTATAATGATGTAAATGAACTGTGTTGATTTGTATGTACGAAAATATCCATCTGACCCAGATCCTTCCAGAAGTAGAAAAAAAAAACTGCCATTAATAAAACATATTGTAGAGTCTTGGCAATACAAGCTAACAGAACAGCAACGAAAACTTCAGTACGGAGCTTTTATCTACATAAAGATGACATTAGAGAAGAAACTTCAGCCTACCCTGTTGTGGATGACGCACATCAACATGAGCCAGTTCGATAACTACACCCTCGACTTCCCCTTGAAAAAAATAGTTAATAAAAAATATAGTCAGAGATTGCACTGTGTTGTCATTCACAGTTTTCATGTCCGTACTGTGTTCACTAGAAGGAAAAAATGTCTTACCTCCCAAGCCGCCATGTTGTTCAATGTCTTCCATGCCCTGTGGGTTCCGTTGTTCTCCATCTCCTTGGCCTTTTTAAAGAAAGCAAAGAAAAAAAATTGTGAACGAGCCAAGAAACAAATAAGTGATAGAACGAAGGATTTTTTGTGACGAACGCAGAACGAGATCTACAATTTCAAACTACTAAAACGTAATAGACAAGAAAGGTTGAGTAATTAAAATGATAATGATAAAATTTATTTGTGTGTATGAAAATATCCTAAAGTCATAGATCCTTCAGTTATAGAGGAACACAGGTACAATATAAACTAACAGAATAGCATTGAAAACTTGACATTAAATTAGAAACTCTAGCCTTACCCTGTTGTGGATGATGCACACCAACACTCGCCAGTTCGATTTCTTCACCCTCAATTTGTCCTTGAAAAGAGAAAGTAGATAAAAAATGTACACAGACTAACCCTGTGCCCTCGTTTGAACTTTGTATGATATGTTAACTGACATCTGAAAGGTTTTTACCTCCCTCGCCCGCATGTTCTCCATTTTCTTCCATTCCGTGCTGGTTAACTTAAAGAAAAAAAAAACAGGGAACATACAAAGAAGAGAGAAGACATAAAAAAATATTTTTAGTCACAGATTGCCCTTTATTTCCCTCGTTTATAGTTTTCACGATATTTCTAGAAATACGGGTTAGGATTTACCTCCCTCACCGCCATGTTGTCCATTGTCTTCTACTCCCGGTTGGTTCGGTTGTTCCCCATCTCCTTGGCCTTTTAAAGAAAACAACGAAGAAAAGTCAATGATCGAGTCAAGAAATATTTATTTCGTACAACAAATGAACTGACCAATAAAAGAACGATGGACCGAACGAGCGAGTAAATGATTAAATGAATGCCTCTATGCATGCATGAGTGAATTGATTTATGACTGAGTGACTGAATGAATAAATCAATAGATCAATAAACTTTGTTTGCAGCAATCTGTTGGTTTACATCGTTTTTCGGTTTATTTCTTATCAGGAGCTAATAATTATATCGCACCTTCCTGATCCCGACCACAGCAGGTGAAAACGGTCTTCAAGTAGTTCCAGACTTTTTCCATTTTGTTCTTCAGAATGCCTCTGACCTGGATACAAAATAATCGAGATTTCGCTCACTGCCTTGAGCTGAGCTCCGATGACAAAATAGAAACTAACGAATTTCTGTTGTCCAATGCTTTTGAAACATTGTCAGTGTCCATTGCAAGTGAACAAAGCAGTCTTGAGCAATATTATACACTGCTTATAGTCGGCTGAAAACCATTACCCTTCCTGTACCTAGCCATTATAAGTCTACTTACGGATTTTATTATCTTGACTACTTATAATGGATTAAAAGCGCATAACGCACCTGTTCTGTTGACAAGGTGTACAGGATAGGATTCAAGGCCGAGTTGATCGGAAGGGCAAATACAGCGATCCAGACAGCGAGGTCTCCTTGCGCTTCGTAAGACTTCTCGATGATGGTCCTCATACCAATCACTATCACCGGCATCCAGCACACACAATCACTCAGGATGATGAAGAACACCCGCCTTGCAAGAGCCGTTTCCCTCCTAAAGTTTGCTCTTCTGGCCTGGATCTCTCTTTCAGTACCCTGACGGGCCAGTCGCCGGCTAGACAAGTAAGACTTGACTAGTATCATGAGATAAGCACCCATGATGAACAAGAAAAAAGCAAAATTCAAAGCGAGAAAGATAGCAACAGAATACTCCCAACCTGCCGGCTTATCAGAAGTAAGCTGCAAGGGCAGACATACCACACTTCTACCATAGTAACTATGGTACCTGAATGGGTCTTCAAAATACTGAATACCAAACATAGGCAAAAAGGCCATAAGGAAGCCAATTGCCCATATGATGATGCACAGGATATGTGTTGCCTTTGGTTTCAGAGAAGCACCTTGGTAAGGAAACACAATATTTTTAAGCCGATCAGCAGATATCAGTGTCATCATCATAACCGAAACCTCACTTGACAGAAGGGAGATCGCTCCAATTATTTGACAAGACAAACCAGACCTCCACTGGAAGTCATGCAAGTAATACTCTCCTCTCCACAACAGATCTTTAGTGCCAAGAGAGATCAGGTAAATACCCATCAAACCATCGGACACTGCTAAGTGGAGCAACATGATGGACTGAACCACGTTCTTTTCTTTAAAGATCACTCGCCAAGTGACAACAAACACTGCACCAACCAGAGAAAATACTCCTATCACCCAGATACTCTTCCTTGGGGCAGAATTCTTAAACATGCTCTCACAGTTGGCAAAGTCGTCGTTGTACGTGAAAGCACAGTCAGCGTCCTCCTTGTGCATATGACAACACATCAGATTTGTGTCGAGACTCCTACAATTGTAAAATATCATCCACTGAAGTTATTTCATTAAAACTTCACAGACCTTGTCGACAAGAACTTGCTTTTAAGAATATATCAGTAGCTGATGGCTGGAGTTATCCATTGACTTATACAAAATATTTTTTTAAGAATCCAAGTCTTCCATTATTTTTGCAAATACTTGAATTTCCCGAAGATGTTGTTTATTCAGAATACATAGCTTTGCTCAAAAACTAATAATTTGCGAATGAATTTTATCAAAATCTTACACTCGTTGTATATCCTTCAACATATCGAAAAAACCATATGGAATCTCCCTCATCTTGTTATACTGCATATACCTGGAAATTAAATTAGGAGATTGAAATGCAGTGATCAAAAGCCGCAAAACTCCACAAAAAAAATTAATATTTAAAATAGGCTCTCTTAATCCCCACAGTGTCAACGAAGTCTTTTCATTTAACGAATTTATTCGTGTATTTCTCGTTACCAGGTTCCTTCTAATCGCGAAACGTCTTTTTCCTGTATATAAACCACTTAAAACTTACAATTCCTGTGTTCTCGGACGAAGGGCTAATGCTCAAGAGGTCAGTTTTGAGGCTCTTTAGGGTGGCCAATTTACATCACCAACTCAGTTGATAATGATTGAATATTGGATGAGACTGACCATGATATTATCAGAATGCTGAGATCTGAGTTACTGCCGAAGCCGAAGGCTAAGGCATATGAAGCAGACACAAGGTTTTAGAATCCATGACATCATGAGAAAACCGAATTCAGTGACTGTTTTATTGAATATTTTTAAAACACTCTGTCTGAGTTTGGAAAAAGTTTCAGGACGTTACACTGACGAGGGGCTTGGCAACTAGTCAGACTTTGAACTCCACATGATAACCCAATACCTGATGCAGATATCGGTTATTATGTCAACTTCACACGCTTTTGTATATTGACTGTATGCTCTCAACCAATCAGAGTTTTAATGTCGAATGACTTCAAATGTCTTGAAATACCCCACACTGACGCACCACCAAAGTTTCTTTACAAACTTTCTCCCACTAAGCAAGTAATCAATCTGCTGGCAGGAAAGTACTTTCCGGTAAGTTGTAGATGAGGTAAGAAGCTTTTACAATAAAAGCATCGATTTAGAGTGTTTTCATTATATTTCAATTGATTGGACGCCTCAAGGTAACAAGGCTTGTTTCACAACTTGATTATCATCACTTGATTAATTATAAAACTCACAGAATTTTCAACTGTTTGATTTCTTTGAAGTTGTCTATGGTTACCTGAGTCATTTCGTTTTCAAGAATTTCTCTAACAAAAATAAAGTGCAACAAAATCATAAAGAGTAACAGGGAAGGTACAATGTTTCGACATTGATTTGTAAATGATCATTTAAGGTGAAATGCGTAATATGTTATTTCAAAAACACATAACCAGAAATCGTATACAGTTAGCAGCTTGAACGGCAGGCGCGTAAATTTCGGTATTCAATATGGCGGACGGACGAAGGAAAAATCGTTCGAAGGGCTTTCATGGAGAATAGATCGAAGGATTTCATGGAGAATAGATCGAAAGGAAGGAAAAGCCCTTATTTTCAAGTTGAAAGAGTGTTGAATTGCAGACAAAATAAAGGAAAGGTAAATTTGACGCTTGTTTGAAGTGAGTAGCATACGTAAGATTTCAACCGTACACCAAGAAGTTCTGTGTGTATTTTTTCCCTAAGAATGAGTACCTTATTCGTTGGAAGGGGTACAGCTCCCTTAGCGACACCTGGGAAGTCGAAGAGACCACCTCAATGAATCACTTTAAGGTAATCTTTAAGCATGTCTCTACTCAGTCATAAAGTTAAATAAGAACTTAATGTTTTTTTTTACTACTCGATTTTAAAACAAAATAGTTTGAGGGGCTAGAAGTGAAGACAGCAATTTTAAGACATCATACACGTTTAAGGCAATTTTCTGCTTTATTGGCGACATTGCATGTATGTTAGACAGTAATGGATCCTAACTCTTTTCAATGGATCCTAACTCTTTTCCGGGCATTCAGAACATCCATAACCACAGAAGAAAGAATCAAAGAAGGATCTGATTTACTGGCAATTGCTATTCTCCAGCATCTCAAGAGTAAACATCAGACAGCCTCACCCACAACTGTGATAGAAATGAGACACTATGTCTTTAATCATATTTTCAGAGAAAGAGAGCAACCCAGCTCTAAGTATGGCTTGTTAGAGAAGAATGACTATAACCGTTGTTCATTTTTCAAAGAATGTTCCCATTAGGACACTTGTGTAGACAACCTTGAAGATAGTACACAGGTTGTATTCCCTTTTAGAGCTAAACGTTTTTTGAGCTTGGGACCACGGACACATAAACTTGTGGAGGGAAAACTTGTAGCTAAGCCTAGATAACATCTTGAAAAAGTAAGTTTAAGTTTTAACAAGTGTTCAATTGCAATATTGTGATTGAATTACAGAATGTCAATACATGCTTTTAGAGCAGTTTGCACTTAAGTAAAACCAAAGTAATTACTCTGACCAATCACGACAGTCGTAAACAACCCAATGAACCAATCAGAGTTCGAGGCTAATACATGTAGCCCGTGGTGAAAAAGTGGCACGAAATTTTTTAGCCAATAACATGCTCTACATGGGTTTAGGTACAAGCTGTCAACACTGCACTAACCCTTCTCCCAAGAAATTATTTTGTATTATTAGGTCAGAAAGTTACATAGAAGCATCGAAATCGTTATTCATGTTTGGTTGTGAAAATTTCTCTGTTTATGTACATATCACTGTTATAGCTGCTCTCACCAAGATTTGTTGTTTGTTTGCCTTTTCCTTTTCCCTTTCTTCTTCCTCCATTTCTCATCTGCCGCCTTATTTTTTTTGTTGCATGATCTCTGTCATTCCCTTGGGGTTTTTCGTTCTCAACTTATGATGATGATGCATCTGGTGAGTCATTGCCTCCCAGGTTGGGTACATTTGATTCAGATTGTCTCTTTTTACCAGCACGCTTGACACTGATTTCTTGCTCCCAGTATTGACAATTATGTTTGGTGTACTTTGAGCTCGTTTCGTAGAAAAGGTTGAGGTTATTCATCGTGGTGAATAACAATAAAAGCTAAGTTTTTCGTTTGTCTCACGATGTAGTCAAGTGTGACGTATATCGCGACGTTTCGACTGCATACTGCTAGTCTTCTTCAGGCGATGAGGTCGACTGGTCATGCGTGATCTCATAAAGCATGATGCTCTGCTGTGATTAGTTGTTTTTTCAACAGCTCTGTTGGAGCATTTCGATCCTTGCTGTTCACTCAGTGATTTGCTGCGTCGGCTGTCTGCTGTCGCACGGCTCTCCTGTTGTTGTGATTTTTGATCGTGAGTATCCACGCTTCTGGAATTTCTATTCCACTATCCCTGTTGATGTTGTTAGGATGAAGTCTTATATGAATTGCCTTTCTGACCCTGCGGGTGTAGTAATAAGGGTCACGATCAATAAACTTTGCTTCGCTCCAGAGTGGCTTGTGTCCGGTGTTGTGGGCATGCTCTGAAACGGCGGAGGTCTCGGTACGGGCGAGTCGAATGTCTCGATCGTGCTCCTTCTTGCTCCTTCTCCTTCCTCCTTTGGGTTCATTCTTTCTCTTTCTCTTGGAAACCATTGTCTGTTTTCAATTCTTGTAGATGGTTTAGGCTACATTTGCTACTTTAAGTAATCTCTAACATATTTCAATGAGGTCTCCACTAAAATATTTTTATTAGGTTGAAAGGAAGTTCTTGGGGAATATCAGACATAGCATTTAATATTAACTATATTTTCCTTCAAAATTCTCGCTTTTTTTTCGATTTTTAGCCGATTATTTTGTACAGCGGCTTTTTTATCTTTAGTTACCTCATAAATGGTAATTAAAATGTGTTAAAACAAAATGGTAGGCAAAGTGAAAAGAAAACAAACCGCTCGAAGGAGCATTTTTGCCTGAGTAATGAGTTCATTTCCTCGCATCTCGCATCTCTGGAAAACGCCACTTTACAAATTGAAAAGGCACCGTGTTAAGAGAAGTTTTTGGATAAAAAAAAAAAAAAAAAAAAAAAAAAAAACCGTTTTCTTTGCGAGTTAAACTTCTTATCTTTCGGAAATGATGACAGGGAACCAAATCGGTGTAACCGTTTCCTCGTAGCAGACTAAAGAAACCATGGAGGTAAGCCCTACTTTAAGGGATGAGAGAAAGAGGAAAGTACGGCTATTATATGAGGTTATTAAAATAAAAACGCACCGTCTTAAACCAGTTTTTTCTCACTTTTCTTTCGATTGAAATACGGTTGAACTTGACTCTATCTATTTTGATGATGGGGAACGTTGAGTTTCTGAAAGTAATGGCACAAAATGCAAAATATTTTTATATCCCCCTTATTTCCTTTATACTTTGCATCGATATTTAACCTGCACTTTCGCGCTTAGCGCATGCTCGCGGCCATTTAGCAGCCATCTTGTATGGGATTTCTGGTTATGTTACTCACCAAACGAATTTCATAGTCTACTTACATAATCAATAGCTGCTTTAAGCCTTTAAAAATTCCTTTTGGGAAGTATCTGAGTTTGTTTCCCGATAGATAGCTAGTGAAGAAAGGAAGAAAATGAAACGAACGTCGGACATAATGGATAAAAGAACGATACCTTAGTAATCGTTTTCATAAGAATCAAAGGGATCATGAGAATACTCACTAACATTTTGCAATATAATTACGATAAATTTTTGGAGAAAGATAATTGATAGTTTGGGAATCAGGAGATTTCTTTTATGGAGTATCGTCAGCGCATGAACTGCAAAATTTCCAAGGATGTATAACATAATAAACTCGGTACTGAAAAGCCACGTGCATGATGTCCAAACCGGCCCATCCCATACAAGAACCGTTAGCACCAAGAAAAAGGTCCTATATAGACCCTCATCATGACTTAAAATCAGAAATTCCAAGAAATGAAAGGATTTCTTAAAAAAAACATGAAAGGGTGGATCGGAGTAGGCATTATTCCGCTTGCACTAATAAATATAGTATATAGTAGATAGTATATTTTCACTATTGATAGATGCCTGGATTCAAAACTTGTGGAATACATAAATGTTAATGAACTACTCACAGGTCATACAGATTTACCAGTCCCCGAAACTGTTGAGGATGCAGCTCCTTTATCTCATTCTTTTCAATTTTTCTGTTGAATTGCAAATCATGGATATGTTCTTGGCCAGTTTTCTTTTAATTTAAACGTTGGATGTTATATCAGTGGTCGGTACTCAGAGTACCTTTTGAATGAATGTCCAAAAGCAAGAGCCGGAGTAATCACAATAACCAATCAAAGCAAAGGGAGACGAAGAAGCCAGTCTACATTAAAAGTACAAACAATTCAAGCACAAAGCCTCACGCGCCGGAAAATTCGAGTTATCAAGTAACGTTTGGTTTAAGTTTGGTGTCCGATTGGTTGATAGGGTGGCACAGGTTTTTAGATTGATCAGAGAGGAATAAAGTAAAACGAGAGAAATCTTCGATTTCTTTTGGCAATTTATTAAATTACTGAATTAATCTGTCTATGACCGCAAAAGCTCCAGAATTATCGAATTCAAAAGCAATTCTTAGAATGTCCCCCTAGACAACTACATATTCGTACTTTACATTGGGTATCTTCTGAAAGGCGCTGTAAATGTTTTTGTTTCCTTTTTTTCCCCCAAAAATTCATCATTCCATCAATCTATCAATCGACTACTAATTAACAAGAGAGGATAATCCTCCTTTACAATTATTCAGTCCTTTAAACTATCCATCGCTACTCACATTGTCTTTAGCTTGGTTAGGTTAGCAAATATCGTTGGCCGTAAATCTCTTAGTTGGTTGTTGGATAAAAGCCTGCAACATTAAAACAGTTAAACACACACCACCTTTAACTGCAAAGCAGAACTGGTTTCCCGTATATAATGATGGCAACCGATAAGATCCCAATAACGATATGCTTACATATCTGTGTAGTATAAATATAGGTGTTTTGCATTCATTCGGTGAGACACGTTTTAATGAACAGGTTTAATTAGATCAATTCGAAAGACATATGGAGTAATAACATTTGATGAAAACTCGATTTTAAGTTCAAAACTTCTATTTTGTGTATGTGTGTGTTGAAATTCAGACAGAAACGGGGAAAGTTTTGCAACTCGATAAAATTTTAGAGAGAAAATTCCCTTTCTCGTCGTGCTTTTAATTTTCTTTTATTTGTTTTTCTTGTTGACTTACAGTATTTTGAGTTTTGCCAGATTGCTGAAGATTTCTTGAGGGAGATCCTCAACTTCATTATTAGACAGATCCCTGAAAGTTTCAAGGTTAAATGCATTAGTCTTTCAGAAAAAATAATGCCAGCCGAAATGTAAATCCCATAAAAAGTGAAACAGTATGCGAAAACACTCTGAATTATTTCGCTGCGTTTCACAGGCACTTGTAGCATGCTATGTTGCTGTTACATTACAATTATGATGAAAGTGCACTAAGCTACTGTGGATAGTTTTCATGCTCTTTACTCAAGTAACACCAACTGATGGGAGGGAAATGGTGTAGAGTAGTGCAACCCAAGACTACCGAGGAACGCCTACAGGTCAGAACCCGAGACCAGTGAATTTCGATGCTATAAGCTTTCGGTAAACCTGCCTTTTATTATGTACAGTCGTCCTAGGATTGCTATGTTGCACTTGATTGTGACATGGTCACTTGGCCTCTTTTATCATCTCTGATATAAGTTACAAAAAAGTGATAAAGAGCCAACACTTTTATAAACACATTGTATTGTATCTACTAAACTCACAGCTCGGTCAAATTAGTCAAATCTTTGAAAACTTGCTTGTGTGGCGTTTCAATTCTGTTGTCTTGCAGCCATCTGAATAAAAGTTGGAATGATGCGACAATCCATTTTATTTAGTTAAATTGTCATTGCATCGTCTGGTTTTGGTGTGTTTCCAATACTTACATTAGTATTGCATAATACTGATCAACATCCTGACTTTTTTTTAAGTTGATTTTTGATAGCTTTCGATAAGTTTGAGGCTGGCAACCTCGTTTTCCTACTGTGTTTTGTTTGTGCAACACTGCTGTTATTAATTGTTTTAGTGTTTGGAACAACCACCCTGCGCATTAACTCGCTCATTCATCCAATAAGAATACGCATAAATGTAAATGAGCCTTTCTGGCCTTCGCCACAAGTTCACTATCAATAGAAGTTTTGATCCAAAGTGGAGCCGGGATGGCTTATTTGCATAACTCAAATGAATTACAATCACGCCCGCCATTATGAAAGAGGCCTACACCATAGCGTACGGCCATCTTTAGCGATATGTTTTCATGCTTTCCCTCTTTACTCAAAAACACATAATTTTCCACCTTCATTGCAGAGGTTCTGCTTATTTTAAAAAACAATGTTAGCTACTATTTTTTTTGTATTGAAAGTTTCCTTCCTAAACTCACAGGCGCGTCAATGCTGTTAAACTGTCAAACAAACCCTTCTGTATCTTTTCCAGGTTGTTGTTGTTAAGTTGTCTGTATGAACAGAAGAGTTAAAAAAAAAGTGTTACAATTAATCTAATTTGAATCGGTTGGAACAAAATCATTTGAACCGATTGCCTGTCTAAAGCTTATAATTTAGGAATTAACAAGTACTCAGTGACCTCGAAAGTACTTCTAATTCAGTTCATTCGACTTCAGTGCGACCCTTGTTTAAATTTTACTGCATAACACATTTGGCTTGGTCTTTGGAGCACCTGATGTTGTAAACCACTTCTTGTCTCCCCTAAGATTTAGTCATTCATCTTTTCAATCAGTCACTGATTGTGGGCGTTTTCAATCGGTTTATGTGCTACGCAGATATTTAGAGGTTCAGGGATCTGCTTGATGAAAATGGAATATGCACTATTTGCATTAAAATTTGTGTTGTGCCACTTGTCAATAGTTGATATGGAGGACCACTTTCACTTACAGCTTCTGCAGCTTGACTGACATTTGGACCGATTGCCTGTCTAAAGCTATAATTTAGGAATTAACAAGTACTCAGTGACCTCGAAAGTACTTCTAATTCAGTTCATTCGACTTCAGTGCGACCCTTGTTTAAATTTTACTGCATAACACATTTGGCTTGGTCTTTGGAGCACCTGATGTTGTAAACCACTTCTTGTCTCCCCTAAGATTTAGTCATTCATCTTTTCAATCAGTCACTGATTGTGGGCGTTTTCAATCGGTTTATGTGCTACGCAGATATTTAGAGGTTCAGGGATCTGCTTGATGAAAATGGAATATGCATTATTTGCATTAAAATGTGTGTTGTGCCACTTGTCAATAGTTGATATGGAGGACCACTTTCACTTACAGCTTCTGCAGCTTGACTGATTGGGAAAACAAATCGTCAGGGAACTTCTTGATCTTGTTACCTTCTAAAAACCTATGCGTGTTGAAAATTTTGTCATTAAATGGGGAGGTATTTAAATCCCGTTCTCTTTGACTGAGGCACTGGTCTAAGAGGGAACCAGCTTACGAGAACCAAGAACCCTTCCCTACACTTGCAAAGGGCTGCATACTGGCTACGCGCATTAAAATAAAACACGTTTATCAGAGGAAGGGGGGAGGGGGGGGGGGAGTAGAAATGGGATTTACAGAACGAGGAGCACTGACAATGAAACTGAAAGCATTCTTTAATGAGTCTATTTACTTTTGTTTGTTTAACTCTGTCCATCCACAAACAATCCATTTTCATGGTTGACTTCGCCCTCTATTAGCTCGAGCACTGTCTTACGAGTAAAATATATTTTTTTGTTTAATTTAATTTTTTTTGTCTCAATCATCTTAAGGTTTGACGCATAACCCTAGCAGGGAGAGGTTTCTCTCTCAATATACTATTGCAGGTTACTATTCTCTGATTCACGCAGCCAATTATAAAGCTAGCTGCTTATGAATATGTCGAAACGCGTAGTGATAGTTACTATTAATTAGAATAAATAAGAATCGATGGTATCGAATATGGACCTTTAAATGTGTTACTTACAGCTCAGTCAACTCGGTGTTTTTATTGAAGAATCCTGGCGGTAGCTCCTCTATCTGGTTGTTACTCAAGTCCCTATGAGAAGATTTTCTCTGGATTTGAATTTAAAGTCTTTTGTCTTGTGATCTGTTGCTGTTAAGCAATTTGATATATTCCTCTCTTGGATTTACATATTCTATGTGCCGTTTCCTTGTCATAATCTTTACATGTTTATATGAAATAGTAATTCTAAATGATCTAAATGAGTGGATTAGCTTATTACATGATTTCAAGTGAAATTTGGGATAAATCAACACGAGTAAATGTTTCGAAGGCTAGCCAAATTGCACTAGCCTGTAGGGTGAGTGCCATTTAATGTCTTACAAAAATTTACGAGAATTTGCGAATTATGCGAAAAATCATTAATTTACTTTCTATTAATATACATGCAAAATTTGACTCTGTTTCCTCAAAGTCGTGTTTATTTCGTGTTATGGCTTGGTGATTAATAATATATACAATTCATGTAGCAGTTATTGAACGCCTCTAAGCGCTTTAAAATATGAAAGAGAAATATTTGACCCACTCTGTACATAAGACACATTTTATACATCTCTACAGTTAAAAAGTTAGAAACAAAAACTCTTGTTAAAAAAATGGGAACAATCGAAGTTAGCAAAAAGCTGTCCTAAATAAATGAGTTTCCAGGTTCCGTTTAAATTTGTTCAAACATCTTGAAGCAGTAGTGGTCCTTAAAGGCAAAGAGTTCCTTAAAGACTAAGCAGCTGCTCGGCCACGTTGCTGCCGGCGTGTTTCTCCAAGAAGTTGCTTCAAACTTCTTAACTTTCTGTTGTGACAAATCGAGCGTTTACTTACTTTCTCGGTTAAGTATCGCTTAATTGCAGTAACCAGTACACGAAGGCTGTCACGCTCGTAATCTTCTGAACTGATCTTATGAACTGTCGCGATTTTTATTTTCAGGGCCTCGGTTTGTACTCTTCAATACTTTCGTTTCAGCCCTTTTTTCTTGCTTCGTTGCGTGTTTTCATTCTTTCACTCCCTCCACCATTTTTTTTCTTGTGCTTCCGCGACTTACCTGTCAATCAATTCAATCCCAACTTTCTGCCTTCAATCTCAATCGAAATTGCACGAAACGAATTTCAATTGCCACTTTATTGCAGCTATTTTGGAATCACAGAATTCAGTCGCTCAAATACAGGCTTTTCGACTCTGAAAAAATATCTTATTGATCCAGTAATAAGCTGGTTTGTAAAAAGTTGCAACGGTTGTCTTTCATTTTCTTGTTGCCAGAGTTGTCGGGTTTTGCCCCAAGAACTTGCTTTAAACTTGTAAAACCTCTCTCAAGAATAATTTAGCGTTTGTATTTTTTCCCTGTTAGGTATTCGTCGACAGCAGTAACCATTACAAGAAAGTTATCATTCTTGTAATCTCCTTCTGTCTTTCTTATGAAATGTTGCGTCAAACTCCTCGAGAAGGTCGTTACTCTAGGGCTCCGGTTCATACTTTCTTATCTGTTTTTGGAAGCTATACTTTTAGTCAGTTGTTTTCCCTTTTTTTGGGTGTGTTTGTTTTTAGTTGCAAAAGTTGTCTTTCATTTTCTTCTAATTCAATTCTTAAATCAAGCCTTGAAATAGAATTGATAATTATTTTTTTTAGAAAATTTCCCGTGAACTGGGAAAAAGTTGCGATTTAGAGCAAAAAATGGTGCGATTCGTAAATAAATCGCACCGATAAGAGCCAACCAGATTGCAAGGATAAAAATGGATTTCAAAATGGATGTAATGAATTTTGATATATGTGAACATATTTCCTGTAGAGCACTTAACTCCCCAGGGACCAAAGATATGAAACAAAACAAAAAAAAGCTTGCTTGGAAAAATTTGAAGCAAAAGTTAAAATCCTGTCAAGTTAAAGTAGATCGATATAAAAGTGAGCTTCCTGACTTACAGAGACTGTAGCTTCACTAATGGAGTAAATAAATCACCACGCAACTTCTTAATCTTGTTTCTGCCAAGCCATCTACAAAATAAGTGTTTTAAAGAATTTGACTAATTGTCATTTTAATAAATAAGCACATCTAAAGAACAAGATACGGCAACCTTAAGGTATCCCAGAAGGAAAATTAGCGTTTTCATTCAAACTGATGTAGCGTGAAAACGAAATATTATAAACAGTTTATTACGGAAGCCGAAAAGGGACAATCCAAAAAATAATATTGTGCAAATCCGAAAAAATATTTAGAATCAATATCTTACAGACAAATCG